ATAAGTGTATGCCTATTCCGCTCATATGCCGCTAAATCGGAAATGTCTATTCTAAGTATTATGCGACGTCTTATACGAGAATGCATGCCCCGACTTAACCTTGAGTCATACATACATACATTTGAAACATTTCATTTCTTTGTTTTTTATTCTTTATTTCATTGAAATAAAATGCTACTAGCTAATCAAATTGTCAAATTGTCAGTTTTAAAAAACTGACAATTTGACAATTTGATTAGCTAGTAGCATTTTATTTCAATGAAATAAAGAATAAAAAACAAAGAAATGAAATGTTTCAAATGTGAAGTGATGAGTGATATAAAGTGTTGAAAGTGTTCAACAAGTTATCAAGTGAAAATTCCGGGAAAAATGACAATTCCGAGAAAGGCTTATTATCCTTCGGTTCAGACCTTCAATCCTTCGGTTCAAACCTTCAATCCTTCGGTTCAAACCTTCAATCCTTCGGTTCAAACCTTCAATCCTTCGGTTCAAACCTTCAATCCNACCTTCAATCCTTCGGTTCAAACCTTCAATCCTTCGGTTCAAACCTTCAATCCTTCGGTTCAAACCTTCAATCCTTCGGTTCAAACCTTCAATCCTTCGGTTCAAACATGATGATGCGTGCCCAATAATATTAATAAATATAATGAATTACGAAACCCGAGGATTTGTTTTAATCAAATAACCTAGGTCCGAATATTCCAGAGTTGAATTATTTGAACCAAAGGATGCATGTTTGAATCAAAGGATTGCATGTTTGAATGACGGAGCTTGTTTGAATTTTGGCACGAAAAACGCGCCATAGTTTACTGGATGCTCGGCTTATTTAATACCGCGTTTTGTTTCAACTGATAGTTTTTTCGGGCTTAAAACAGAAGGAACAAAACCGAAGAAAATTTCTAACGTGATGGCAATAGAATCTAAGAAAACAAAATAAAATTTCTGGAAACTCGAAAACCTGCGAATGTTTAGAAGAAGCTTTTGCAGTATTTTTGCAACTAGAATTTCATCAGTTCGGAAAATCCCGGGATCAACAGTAGGGCGTGATCTTCAAGAACGACTTTCAAAACAGCGGTGTTGCCAGTGATATCACACTGATATCACTGAACTAAATTTGGCCTAACTTGCGTAGAGAATTTCTCAATTCTAAAGCTCGAAAAACTGGGCTGTACTGCTATTAGTACTTACATAGAGCCTGTCGTGGTAGTTGTCGAAGAATGGAAATGGCATAGTAATGCTGACCCAGCCAGAACTGCCATCATCATTTGTAGGCACTCTTCTGTCATTCGTCAAACTACCGAATGGGTAGAACTGTTCTACCGGAAGGCAATGACACGGATTGAAGACAAAACTGACCAAAAACACCAGAAGAGCAGTCTTCTGTCGATTACGAGAGCTTGTCATTGCAAACTCGAGCAAATTTGCAATGCTCAGGTCGTTAGGAATTATAGGAGCGTTGAAAGAAGTAAAGTCTAGTTTTCTGGAGCCGACCTAAGGAAGAATCCTTGTCCTACCGAAGTGTTCTTGTTGGCGCTGTTGAAGAAGTTGCACCACTGATGTCGTGCCCTCGCAGCTGACAAAATTTTGCATTGCTAATAATTCTGGGAAATTTTTGATTATTACATAATATCTACCTGTTTGAATGACGTGTCTCTAATGAACTATTAAATAGCATGGACTTCCTTGGTAATAACTTGACCTCATCTAAGCTGGGCTTATTATTACCCTACTACACGAGTCGCTAACTATCTTGATGTGGCCTTAACTTTAAGGGGGGGGGGGGGGGGAATTCGAAGGGAACTGCAAGGTTTGTCCGTCCGTCCTTGCTTGCTTTTCCTATTTTGTCCTTCCTATTTTTGTCCGCGGTCCTATTTCCCCCAGTTTTTTATTTCTGACTATATTTTCTCCAGTGTTTATGAATAGGAAACGCACGTAATCATATGATTGGGAAACATACGGTACCGTCATACTGCATGCACACGGTACGACATTCCGTAACATTGAAAATGGCTTCCCATAAGAATGGTTATCGTATGAGTGGAAAACATACGGTACTGTCATACTGCATGCACACGGTACGACATGCCGTAACATTGAAAATGTCTTCCCATAAGAATGGTTATCGTATGAGTGGAAAACATACGGTACTGTCATGGAGCATGCACACGGTACGACATGCCGTAACATTGAAAATGGCTTCCCATAAGAATGGTTATCATACGAGTGGAAAACATACGGTATTTATTTACTGTACAACACGGTACGACATGCCGTAACAAAGCATTGAAATCGGCTGGTTTCACACTCCACATAGTAATTATAGTAGAGAGGGTCTAGTATACGGCTCCCCCCTCTACTTTACAATCATGAGTACATTGATTAATCCACTGACGCGGGTAGTTGTTTAAAATGTGCTGAAACGGAAAACTATACACCCTTTGAAGGTCACGAAAGGTTATCCATGTGACGTCATTACAGCTTCGAAAACAACCGACGAATAAGACGACATTTTTAGACTTTTCCTCATATGGCAAGTATTCAAGCTTCATATTTCAACCAATCGATCAGAATTTACATTATTTCCGTATGAAAATATTCCGAGAAATATTAATTTGCAGTGACCCTAATCTCAAACTATCGAGCAAATTTCTTCCAAGGGAATCCCACCGAAAAAATTTGGTGTAACGTTTTTACGTATCAAACTACTTGTATTACCTCTGTTTTACTAAATCTTTTAAGATCCCAGTGATAAAAGGGTGACAAAATTAATTGAATCTTTCCGCTTTCAACTGTCCTCCGTCCTACTCCGTAATACTTTCGTGAGCTTCCGTAAGGTAAGTCGTTCGGAATCGTTCGGGTATTTTCCGTACTCACATCGGAAGCATGTGACTTCGAATCGTTCTTCTCGGTTCGTCAGTTTGCGTGACGCAGCGAAGAAAACAAGATGGAGTCTCCACAGAACATCAAGGTCTTTATAGAATATTGGTAAGATTCACTCTCTAAACTCTCTAATCTCATCAATTTGAGGGAGAATGTAGGAACATTTTTAACTATTTCATTTATAGGATAATCAATCACGTTTTGGTCTTCGTAGGTAGAAGTTTCATTAGCCAACATATTTTATCGCTTTTGTTATAATAAAATCACTCGGAAAATACGGACATAAATGCTATTGTATTTGATGGATTGTTGAATACATAGAGGATAGCCTAGCTTATCGTGGTTTATAAAGGGATTAGACTGATTCCATAAGCCGGCGTTTACGCTTTTTTGTGGATTCCACAAAGGAGCGAAAACTACGACTTATGGAATGATCAGTCCACGAAGGAATTAGCGTTGAATACTTGTATTTTATCTTGAAACACGTTCATCAAGAAGTGGATTTTTTTATTTATTTTGCTCATGAAACATAAGATGGGGCTTCAAAATACATAGTTAATTTTAATTTTAAAAATCGTTGATGCTCGATTTAAAAACTTGGGCTTTCAGTTATGGTAAACTGAAAAGGAAAATTAATAGCGATCTCAAATCTTCTTTTATTCATTTTACCATAAGCATAGCATGAAATATATAAGCTTATGGTTAGACATTGTTGCTTACTACGACATGAAATAAGTGTATCTTTGGAAGATTTGCAAAAGCTTGTGCATTCTTGGCAAGAGCTTGGAATTTATAATGAATAAATTCCAAAAATAACCACACAGAGTGAAAGAAGTGCTATTTCTCAATGATCGGGTAAAAATTCGAGGCTCCATTTCACGTTTCAATAATTTTATTGAAATTTTTGATGAATCCCCATACATTTCCTTATAACATGACACCACAGAAACCAAACATGGGCTACCTGTGCTATAACCATTCACGACAATACTCTCAGTATTAATTCTACAATATAAGCTGTCGAATGACCTGAAAAAATGTCATAGTTTGAGTGTGGCTTCTTGAAGTTACATGTATAAAGGTTTTTCCATGCCTGTATAACTGAAAGCCCAAGTTTTCATCAACAATTTAAAATCAAAATTATTAACCATGCAAGCTTATTTTTGAAGCCTTATCTTATGCCATATGCTAATGTCTATGACGTATGTGACGTGTAATGTATACAGGATGAATGGCCATGTTGTATCAGCTATACAAACTCGAGGCATATCTGATACAACACCAACATGAATACTGTATATGACTTATCAAACGTCTAGGTTAGTTCCTTTATGTTTCGCTAACATTTTCAAAATTAAAGTGAATCTGGTCAAGATTTCTATTGTGTTTTCCTCATGAATTATTAATGAGTTTGAACATTACTGGCACAGATAAGTTGAATTTGAAATATCCATTGCTCATTTATTGCAAGTTATTTTTCACATAGTAGCCAGGCCAGCGTTTCGAATTACAAGGAACAACAAGTAAACATAGATACCTCCCCGTACATGTCTGCTAAACTACACTTATTTGCAGCCTTGCTTGCTTATCATAGAAAATTTTTCAAATCAACAGTAGTGGATGAGGCTACTACGGCCAATTCAAGGACTTGGCCAGTAAAATTAAAGCTGCCATTCCAAATGTGGAAGTGGAAGGCAAAACAGGAAGAAATAGTAAGTCCTGTACCTATAGAAACCTTTCATGTGATGTCAAAGCAGCTCAATGTGGAGGACAAAACAAAAGAATTTGAATCTAGTCCTGAGTATTGCAAACTTATTGTTATGTCTAAGGCCCCGTCCACACGTATCAGGAAATTTTTGTATCCGCAAATTATTTTTTGCGGATACAAAAATGTTTGCGTCCACACGCAGTGTATTCGAATCGTTTTCACCGTCCACACGTATCTGTTTTCGTAATATTTGAGGATACGGACACAAAAATTTGCGGACACTTGTGAATCCAACTCGTACTCGCAAAAAAAAATTTGCAAACACAAAAATTTGCGGATACATGTGGATGGGGCCTAATATAATTATGTCTAGAATCCCCCAATAATATCATACCTTCCCTAAATACAATATCTTTTGAGATGGAATCTTTCGAAGGAGAATTTAATGGAGAATATTACATGAGCGCGTGGAGATACGAAATTTATCTTCGAGTGTTGAAAAGATCTCTCACGAGTGAGCACAGCGACATGAGAAGATATAATTATCCATAAAATCAACTTAATAAGCTTTGTAAAATTATCATTGTAAAAAGTTTTTATTTATAAAATAATAGCATGGTATTGATATTTTCACCTTTGAAAGTAACGTTATTTTCACAGGTGAAAATATCAGTTTTTCGAAAAGGAGAAATATAGGTATTTTATGAAGTAGAGAGAATAAGAGAAAAATATCAAATGCCCTTGGCAGGATTCGAACCCACGTCTTCGGTATTCTAGTCCAATGTGTTAACCACTACACTACAAGGACCAACCACGCTGGTAACGCAGCCAGAATATGAAATGTAGGGTATTCGTGAGGATCCCAGAGCGATATTTTTTCTCTATAGATAAGTTGAACACCGTAAATATGTATGCAAAGAATAGACATAGTATAGTAGTAATAAATTAGGTATTTTATGGATAATTATATGATAAATTAATATCTTTCATTGATTGTTAGGTTCCTTTGAGATTGAAGTAAATGAAAGAGAAATATTTTCCAAGCTGAAGAAAGGAGGAATGCCAGATTTTGATGAGGTGTGTACACATAGTTTGTTCTAACTTTGTATTATTCTTAACTGGCTTACTAGCTTTTAGACTAACAAGTGTTCGATATGACAAGTCATGGGTTTTGTCCAAACTTAAGGGGGATTTTTTGAGACCGACCCGAAAAACTGTTTTTCGGGAATTCCCCATAACTTTTGCATAATAAAGATGATCGACATGCCACACCCAATATTTTAAACTTCAATCGATTGACCAATTTATATTTAAAAATAAGATGGCTACAAAGAGAGGAAGTCTGTTTTAGCGCACTTTGAATGATACTGGTTGGAGCTTTCCATTATTGATTTTAGCCACCTTAACATGTGATAATCCCTATTTACCATCCATTAAAACTCATCGTCTAGATAAGTTTGGGGTCAGGTACTATGGTGCGAGCTGTGCGCATCAATCAGACTATGCCCTACCACGGAGGTAACCATGGCGGACCGGACCACATCTCACCACCTGGTACCTGTCACACTGACCACTCAGTGGAATAACACTCACCTGGCTCCCACCAATTGAGGAGTGGGCGGGCGGAATAAAATTTTTTTTGCTGCACGCTCACAGCCAAAGCTACCAAGACTGCTGGTAAAGCTGCCACTAGTCCTTAGCAAAAACGCGCCCCATCCCCTACCCCCACCGCATATTATTGGGGTGGGTAGCCGCTGGCTGCTATGACTCGGTTTTAACTTGCCTGAATTTCATTCATGCTCATTACAATATAAGGCATGAAATATAATGTTTGTACTTACCAAGCTAGATGAGCATGCACAACATTTTTAATCCCAGAAAAGGCTGGAGAACGACAGTTTTTTTCAGCACCTAAGTTCTCCAGGGAGAGAGTCTTCAGAAGCACCTTTTCAAATTTCAAGTTGTATACACCTACATCAAAAAAATGTTGTCCGAGGTGTTAAAAAATACCAAAAATATCCAAGAGTTATAAGTGATTCATTCATATTAGATGACTACCCCAGTCTTTTTCACAGGGTTCGTGCTGAGGTAAACACTTAAAATTCAAGGACTATTCAAGGAGTATACAAGGACCCAAAAATGAATTTTTAAGGAGTATGTTCAGCTAACTATGCCAAGGTTTTACACGGTGGTTGCACATGGGCGATTTTCAAATCTTTCTAATTAGATCTATTTCAGAACAGAGTTTTCAAGGAGTTTCGCTAAAATCATAAAATTCAAGAGCTCTTCAAGTGCCCTTGGAAACGGAATTAAATCCAAGGCATTTTCAAGGAGTTTAAGGAGTAGCACGAACCCTGTTTTCACCTCTAATTTGTACTTCCTGACCAGTGTAATTTAACTTCTTCAGGTGTTGGAAGCAATAAAGGCTGCACAGAGAGGAGAAAACAAAGAAGTAGAAAAACTTCAGCCAGGATGCACTATTTTATAAAGTAAATTATTAAATAAGCTCATGACAGCACAAACTGTATACACCCCTTACATGTGAATCAAACCAGCTCAATTTGGCATATAAAATGAAAGAATTTTAATCTTCTGAGAATTAGAAACTTATTGTTCTAAATTGGACTACTGCAAGGGGTCTATTCTATGCTCTTCTTGTACACTCAATTGCAAAATCATCATAGAATACCTGTAAACCAATTTTTGTTGGAAAAAGTGATCTGTATAGACTGTTAACTTTCAACAAATTTCTCTCACTTCATTTGGTTATTTTTTATCATCAATTAGAGGACAGACAGAAAACACTGCTGTCAATGAGCATGCGCTCTTTCCATTGGTTGTTTTGATCACTAAAAATGAGATGTTTTTGTTAATGTAAAAACAAATAGACACTAGTTTTATGTGTCTGTCCTCTTATTGACGATAAATGTTGTTGTCACATTGTCAAAGAAGTATGCGGATCCATTCGGCTAAGCCTCACATAAAAAACTGATGTCTATGTATTTCAAGCGTATCAAAACACAATAACTTCAGTGAGCACAGTTAAAATATTATGGATTGATATATGTAGCTTATCGGCAAGTAGGCATACAGTCAAACACCACTTTAGTGTTGTCTAGTGTATGATGGTTTTCATGGCAACGGGAATACTATTTCCTGAAGTGGAAACCTGATGTGAAATAATCTAAGAAAGCTGGAGTGCAAAGATTGTATGTTAGGATGATGTCCATAATAAATAAAACAGTTACCAAAAATAGAAACAATTTTGAAATTAAAGACTAGAAAATGTAACCTAAATCTACGGGGAGGGTTTGTGAGAATAAACAGGGACCATGGAGGGGAGGGGCAGGCACTTTTTCCCTTTTTCAATGCCACATGTAGTCAAATTTTCCAATCTTAGCCCCCCTCCCCTTGAAACGACAAATGAAATAGTTGTGCTTAGTGCTGTTTAGTTTTTGTGCAAATCACAGATATATTTAGATCTTATTAACCAAGTGGGAGGTCTGTACGGGATAATCTTGACCGAGGTCGGAATGTACAGACCGAGGTCAAGATTATTCTGTACAGACCGACCAAGCTCGGTTGATAAGAGTTTTATTATATGACCACTTTTCATTGAAAAGGACAAAATGTTTTCGCCGTAAGATTGATATGCGATCGGACCGGTTAATACCAGAGAATCTAGACCAGTCCGCGATGCGATCTATCCAATCAGATTGCTCGATTTGCTAGTGTCCAGGCTCTAAGATTCACGGCCATATAATAAATACGTTTATGGTTAGCACGGCATGTCTGAAAATCAGCTTGTTGAGCCGTCTGGATAAATAAAGTTGATTGTTTGCACTCTACCATATCAATAATTAGGAACAGTATGTTGCATAATAGTTTTCATCCCTGCCTTTATTGGTAATATTGAACCATTTCATCTTTGAGGCTTAACCATTTAACAGTCTCATAACCACATATCACACACACACTAGTAGGTACAGATATTGCTAGATTAGGTAACATCCCTTTGGTCAAGGCTAAGGCTCCTTCCTTCCTCAATAATTCAAAGAGGACTTTCTTTATTGATCTTCGGCCTTCAACCTACAATGTTAAGACACAAATTTAACCTCAATCTTAAGATTATTGTGTAGGTGACAACAAAATTGCAGTTACAAAAAATCGCCTCTGTTTCACCCCTTTTCTCTCATCCCTTCCCACAATTCATACGTAACCTCAATCTTAAAATTATTGTAGGTGACAACAAAATTGCAGTTAACCTCAATCTTAAGATTATTGTGTAGGTGACAACAAAATTGCAGTTACAAAAAATCGCCTCTGTTTCACCCCTTTTCTCCCATCCCTTCCCACAATTCATACATAACTAAAGCCATTTACTGAGGCCCTGTTAGGGATAAATTCGGGCAAGCCACATGGCCTTGAAACAGCAACACAAGAACCACAAAATAGCAACAAACAACGGGCCTTGCTAGGGGGTAAAATTCTGTAAAGTAACACTAGAACATTCTGAAATTGTGACTTACATGTAGGCAGTTGTGAGATTCAGACAGAGAATATGGGTACCCCCCAAATAGTTCCTTTCTTATGTGCTCTTGCACTTCAAAAAAAGGGTAAGGTAGATGAAGAGAGTA